GGGTTATCACCTCAATATTTGCTAGACCTTCTAGTTAGGTCAGGCTTGCTGAATAACTCTCAAGAAGGGAGACTCGTTTCTCCTGCAGGCTGAGATCATAACACTAGGCGAGATGGGAAGGGATGGAGCAGAGGGGGAAAGTGGGAAGGGGGGGGGGGGGGTGGCGTTGTGTGCGTCGAGTAGATAACTTTACTAGCTTCAGTCATGCTTGTATTTTACAAGACAACCTACTTCAAGTATGCTTCCACGCCTATATGTATTTGAGAGTAGGCCTACTCTCAACTATATATTTAAAGTAGACAATATATATATATATATATATATATATATATATATATATATATATATATATATATATATATATATATATATAACTGAAAACTCCACACCCCAGAAGGATTCGAACCCAGACAACCAGGAGCATTATTTGGCGTACCTGGTACCTTAACCACTAGACCACATTGACTGTACAAAAATCATGGTAGTCAATGTGTCGTGAGACTATTTATCCAAGAAGATCCGAGCGCTGTCGGATCTTGGATAAATAGTTCCCCTTCCTTCACCTGCTGCACCGCAGATCGTCAGGTGCTCTCATCAGTTCCGAACTTGCTCCCCCTTTCCTGTGACCACATTTTTATCTTACCTCTGTTCTCTCTTCTCTTTCATAGTCCCTCTCCTTTTGTTCCCTAATATTCTCCTCCCGTTTTTCATATTATCTGCTTCCTGCTCTCTCGTATTCCACTCCTTGCTCATATTCTCCGTCTCACTCTGTTGTTGTTGTTGTTTAAGATTTGCTACTTGGAACAAAAAGTTCCAAGTAGCACGGGCTATGGTGAGCCCGTAGCCCCCCCCCCGTCTCACTCATATTCTCATCCTCCCTGATCCTTCGTATTCTCTTTACTCATATACTCATCTTCCTGCTCTCTCATATTCTTTTTTTTTTATCTTACTATTTGCACTTCTTGCTTTTCTTCTCCTGTATATTTTTTTAATTATTAAAACCTTCATTTCTTTTTTATTCATACATATATAATATTTACTTTTCACTTCCCTTTGTTCTCTTTCGGGTTCTCACCTTCATCACACCTGTTTTCATTATTACACCTGTTCTCCTTATCGCACATGTTCTCTTTATCACCACTATTCTTTTTATTACACCTGTCATCTTTATCACGTTTATCACACATGTCCTCTTTATCACACGTGTTCTCATTACGACACCTGTTGTCTTTACCACACCTGTCTATCACACTTGTTATATTGACCACACCTATTCTATTTACGATAGCTGTTCTCTTCCCCCCTCCTCCCTGTCTCCCCCTCTCCCTCTACCCACTCTCTCCTGGCATTCCTCTCCTACGTTCACGGATCACCTCTGAGTCGAGGTGTTCTGTCCAACACACACAAAAGAGAGACAAGTGTTATGTCTCGTTAATGACCGTCTACTTGGACTGGTTGGTGTCGAGACGCCTTCGCTTCTTGCAAGGAAGGCGGGCGTTCGATCCCCGATGGTCCAAATGGTTGGGCATTGTTCCTGCACTCCGTCCTCATATTCCAGATCTGTTTCCTCATATGGCAAGTCCTTTTTTTTATAGCCCAGTTCCTTAGCTTCACATACCAGTTCTTGTCATGATATACCAGTTTCTGGTCCTCGCAACCCAGATACTTGTCATCATATCCCACCTCTTTATCCTCAGATTCCAGCTCTTTGTACTCATATTCTCTTTATATAATATATATAATATATTTGTATATAATATAAATAATATATATTTGTATAATATAAAAATATTATATTATACATTATATATTACATTAAGATTACAAATTCTTGAAGCAATTCACATAAGAATAGAACAACCTACCATGAACTCCCAAGTCACGGAACTATTTACTCTACCCACCATGAGAGTAAGGACAAGACCAGAATATAACGATGCCAACACTGAAGACACTGTTCAACATAACAGGCCAATTACATCTGATTAATCTTTGTATGTAGTGGTGGGATTGGGTGGTTATAGATAGAAACTGCCTCGTATGGGCCAATAGGCCTTCTGCAGTTACCCTTATTCTTATGTTCTTATGTTCTTATGTGCTTCGTCCCCGATTTATCCCATATGTATCCCCCTTGTTTTTACCTTTTTGTATTTGTCTTATCACCTGACCCCGTACGGGTATAAATCAACGAGTTCTGTAATTCTTTTCACTTGAGAATGAACCATGGAGGTTCGAAACGTGTGCAAATTGTATAAATAAGTTTAATACATTCTATAGTAATTCAGTTTTTTCTTCACCTTGAAATAACGAAAATGAGTTTTGGAGAACTCCTTTTTCAGCTAAGCCCTGATGCTAGGAAAATAGAGGGATAGAAGCCCTAAATCAGAAGAGAGTAAATACAGAATATGCGGTCATATTCAATGAGACATGTTTAAAAGAAAACCTGCTGCCAGTATACACCAATATATTATATATATATATATATATATATATATATATATATATATATATATATATATATATATATATATATATATATATATATATATATATATATATATATATATGTCGTACCTAGTAGCCAGAACGCACTTCTCAGCCTACTATGCAAGGCCCGATTTGCCTAATAAGCCAAGTTTTCATGAATTAATTGTTTTTCGACTACCTAACGTACCTAACCTAACCTAACCTAACTTTTTCGGCTGCCTAACCGAACCTAACCTATGAAGATAGGTTAGGTAGGGTTGGTTAGGTTCGGTCATATATCTACGTTAATTTTAACTCCAATAAAAAAAAATTGACCTCATACATAATGAAATGGGTAGCTTTATCATTTCATCAGAAAAAAATTAGAGAAAATATATTAATTCAGGAAAACTTGGCTTATTAGGCAAATCGGGCCTTGCATAGTAGGCCGAGAAGTACGTTCTGGCTACTAGGTACGACATATATATATATATATATATATATATATATATATATATATATATATATATATATATATATATATATATACATATATATATATATATATATATATATATATATATATATATATATATATATATATATATATATATATATATATATAATCCTATGAATATTCGTGAATACCATGTATAGGTCATAAGTAAATATCACGTATAATCAGCGACAACAGTGATCATATACCTCACCATTGCTAATCAAATATTTTCGTTTCAGTTTGATGCATTATTGTTGAACATTTAGACGGTGTCTAGACGGGGGAGGGGGACGGAGGCTGCATTATCTTGGCCATCACAGGCAGGAGGAGCAGGAGGTGGTGGCCACGCCGCGCGGGACACTATAAGCACCATACTTGGCATGTCATTACACAGTACAATTTCCTCGCTAGCTGCTAATCGCCGGTCTGAGGAAACAAGGCAGTTCTTAAACTTTTATAACTGCGTAAGTTCTCCGTCCCCACTCTCCGTGCTAGGTTATATGGAGGTGGCCAAAAACACAACTTTGCTATCTCTGCTCCAGCCGGGTGGGCTGGGAGGTCGATACCTACGGTAATGATACGATAGCCTGATGGCGTTCAGTTATGCGAAGCCTGGCCTACCTGGCATTATTACTCCCACTATTTTACGTCGCGTTTATGTATATTTTACGATCAGTATAATGGCAGTGAAGAGAGGGAGGAGAGAGTGGAGTACAGGTGGAGGTGTACTACTCCTCCACCACTCCTGCCCCCCCCCCCCTCCTGGTGTCACCAGTCGGTATATATTGCCTTAGTAAATTGTTATTATTTTAGTTATATTTTGTAATGTATTTTAATATCTTTCAATCAACCAATCTTCCTGAAATGGTAACTATAGTAACTCTTTAGTGGAATGGACTGGAACTATCAGGGAAAACGCCAAGCCATTGCAACTATATAGCACTCATAGGTTTATAGTACCAATATAGTGACGCGTAAGCCACTTTTTGTACTATTAATTTTATAGAGTTCAGGAAAAATGACAACTGAAAAGAATACTTGAATATTGCTAGACCAAGAATAGCGCGTATTTGCACTATATTAGGCTTAAGATAAAGTTTATTAAGCCTAGGATTGCTAGGAGAAGTTAGGTTTAAAGTTGCGACTAAAAAATTTTCCGGTTTGTCTAAATTAAATAATACAAAAGTAAACTTTCTGGTTCCATCATTACAAACGGGTACTCACCACCAAACCTTTACTATAAGTGCTTTCACTTTAGAAGGATGGAAAACTTTCTGTGCAATAACGATCATATAAATCATATGATGCTCGAACAGAAACTGCTTACTAACATCAAGGTGCATACTTGCAGGCCAGAATAGGAATTCACGTATTCAAAACTTGTTATGGAAGGCCATATGGTCTAAGGAAAACAAAGATGATTTTAACCATTAATATATACAATCCTGGAGCTATGAGCCCCATGATGTGTCCGATGTAGACACGGAGGTGCAGCTTTAAGTCCGCAGTACACAGTGATTGTAACAGTCAGAGCTGTTATAGAGAGAAGAGTCACCTGAGGATTATTTAAAATGAGAGCTGGAGGAAATGGAGAGAGCGGAGGACAAAATAGGTAACCAGCTTTATAGAGAAACTCTAGAAAATTGTCCAAAACAGCCGAACAAAATATACATTAGACAGGCAAAAACACTTTTTCAACCGTAAACAATCCATTTATAAAGCATATTTTGCATTGCAACTTGAACTCTTAATGCATTTAAGCATACTCTTCGTATATTAACATTGCTTTAAGGCTAAAATCTGTATTAACTAGATCGCAATATACCATTCCAGAAATGTATTAAGAAATGTATTGAGAAACCAGAAAAAAACAACGTTTGAGGCGATTCCCACAAACCAGTGAAAATCCGCCATCAATCGTGGCGCCTCACTACTCAAAACACTCCAACTGGGAACACAAAATAATAACCATTTACATACTAAAACTATTACAAAATATGTTGTAATTATCAAGAAGAACAAATGTTACCATAACATGCAGAACACTGGAAAGACCCAAAACGCAGGAGAGACCCAGTTCCCACAGCCTCGAGCAGCAGAAGAGACCCAGTTCCCACAGCCTCCAGCAGCAGAAGAGACCCAGTTCCCACAGCCTCCAGCAGCAGAAGAGATCCAGTTCCCACAGCCTCCAGCAGCAGAAGAGACCCAGTTCCCACAGCCCCCAGCAGCAGAAGAGACCCAGTTCCCACAGCCTCCAGCAGCAGAAGAGACCCAGTTCCCACAGCCTCCAGCAGCAGAAGAGACCCAGTTCCCACAGCCTCCAGCAGCAGAAGAGACCCAGTTCCCACAGCCTCCAGCAGCAGAAGAGATCCAGTTCCCACAGCCTCCAGCAGCAGAAGAGACCCAGTTCCCACAGCCTCCAGCAGCAGAAGAGACCCAGTTCCCACAGCCTCCAGCAGCAGAAGAGACCCAGTTCCCACAGCCTCCAGCAGCAGAAGAGACCCAGTTCCCACAGCCCCCCAGCAGCAGGAGAGAGACCCAGTTCCCACCGCCACCCAGCAGCAGGGGAGACCCAGTTCCCACAGCCCCCCAGCAGCAGGAGAGACATAGTTCCCACAGCCCCCCAGCAGCAGGGGAGACCCAGTTCCCACAGCCCCCCAGCAGCAGGAGAGAGACCCAGTTCCCACAGCCCCCCAGCAATAGGAAAGACCCAGTTCCCACAGCCCCCAGCAGCAGGAGAGAGACCCAGTTCCCACAGCCCCCCCAGCAATAGGAAAGACCCAGTTCCCACAGCCCCCAGCAGCAGAGGAGACCCAGTCCTCATACATCAACAGGTCTGGTTCAATATTACCGGAATGCATACCGCTCCATATACCCAACAAACGTCAGGGGTGACTGGGAAGAGCAAGGTAATAATGGAACAATCAAAACAATAGTGAAGGGAGGAATCGTGGCGAGGCAGAAGAGACGGGTCGGTGAGGCTGACAGAAGGAAAAGAGAGAGAGGACAGGAGAGACAGAGCGAGGGAAGAGATGAGAGAAAAGAGGCAAATCAAAGATATGATACAAACAACGGGAGTTGAGGGTAGGGGAAGAAATAATAATAGGAAGTCGTTTGCGAGTATGGAGTTGAAGGTGGGTGAGGGCGCGAGAGTGCAGCAGGTGAAGAGTGAGGTAAACAAAGAGTGCTCAGAGAGAGTGCAGGGGTCAGGGTTCCCTGATGATGATCAAGGCTGGAGTAATTTAGGGGGAAGTCTAATTGGAGAATCACAGGGAGGAGGGAGAGATCGCAGGAGAGGAGGAAGGTTGACAGGGTTGAACCGATCAGACGAGTAGTGTTGAGAGAAGTGGGGAAGCAGCAGTCCCCAGCAGCAGAGGGGAGGGCGAAGCAGCAGTCCCCAGCAGCAGAGGCGAGGGCGAAGCAGCAGTCCCCAGCAGCAGAGGCGAGGGCGAAGCAGCAGTCCCCAGCAGCAGAGGCGAGGGCGAAGTAGCAGTCCCCAGCAGCAGAGGCGAGGGCGAAGTAGCAGTCCCCAGCAGCAGAGGCGAGGGCGAAGCAGCAGTCCCCAGCAGCAGAGGCGAGGGCGAAGCAGCAGTCCCCAGCAGCAGAGGCGAGGGCGAAGCAGCAGTCCCCAGCAGCAGAGGCGAGGGCGAAGTAGCAGTCCCCAGCAGCAGAGGCGAGGGCGAAGCAGCAGTCCCCAGCAGCAGAGGCGAGGGCGAAGTAGCAGTCCCCAGCAGCAGAGGCGAGGGCGAAGCAGCAGTCCCCAGCAGCAGAGGCGAGGGCGAAGCAGCAGTCCCCAGCAGCAGAGGCGAGGGCGAAGCAGCAGTCCCCAGCAGCAGAGGCGAGGGCGAAGCAGCAGTCCCCAGCAGCAGAGGCGAGGGCGAAGCAGCAGTCCCCAGCAGCAGAGGCGAGGGCGAAGCAGCAGTCCCCAGCAGCAGAGGCGAGGGCGAAGCAGCAGTCCCCAGCAGCAGAGGGGAAGGAGAAGCAGCAGTCCCCAGCAGCAGAGGGGAAGGAGAAGCAGCAGTCCCCAGCAGCAGAGGGGAAGGAGAAGCAGCAGTCCCCAGCAGCAGAGGGGAAGGAGAAGCAGCAGTCCCCAGCAGCAGAGGGGAAGGAGAAGCAGCAGTCCCCAGCAGCAGAGGGGAAGGAGAAGCAGCAGTCCCCAGCAGCAGAGGGGAAGGAGAAGCAGCAGTCCCCAGCAGCAGAGGGGAAGGAGAAGCAGTAATCACTAGTAGCCGAGGGAAGTGAAGAGCAGCAGTCACCACCAGAAGATGGAAGGATGAAGCAGCAGTCCGCTGTAGCATTCACTAGCAGCTGACGTCCACAACTGATCAATAGACTGCCATGGGATGACGCCCAGGTATCACCACCTGCCTACTCATTGCACACACACATACAGCAATTGGGCAACTATTCCGATACTGCAAAGAACAGCTTTAAACGCAGGTAGGATATGGATATTAACTACTAATCATGGGAGATTTACACTATTGCAAGATAGACTGGGAAAACGGAGAAACTCAGTGGGATACAGATTCATGGAGAGGCAAAATAATGGAAACAGCAATGACAATCCTCCTAAGCCAACATTTCAAGGTACTCAAATGAATGAGGGAAAATGACGAACTTGACTTGACTTGGGAATCACTTTGAAAGTGTCAGACATAATGAAAATAACTGTTCGATTACCCCCTCCCCCCTAGTAATGTACAATCATTGAATACGTGCATTTGAGTATGTGATGGAGGCAGGAATGACATGTTTAAGAAAGGACGAAAAGATCAATGGCTGGTACACCAACCCGTTCTCGCAAATTTAATAAGTCAATATTGACTTATTAGTTGCGTGCATAGGTGACATACTAAACATAATAGTTTCCCTTGAAAAGCTTCATAGAAAACACCGACCCTACCTAACCTACTTAGTATGTTAAAATAAGCATCTTATTGCTTCGTAATTACAATTGTTACTTAACCTATTATAGGTATAGGTTAGGTAATAATTGTAATTACGAAGCTATAAGATGCTTATCTTAACATACTAAAAAGGTTAGGTAAGGTCGGTGTTTTCTATGAAGCTTTTCAAGGGAAACTATTATGTTAAGTATGTCACCTATGCACATATTTAATAAGTCAATATTGACTTATTAAATTTGCGAGAACGGGTTGGGTACACAGAAGGAGATATTATGAAGGGGTTGGTCAGGGAAAACACTGAAAGGAACCCAGAGTGAAAACCACACAAGACATGATGGTCTTCTTCACCCAAGAATGTTGAGAAGTAGTCGACAAGTTGCACCTGTCCAAAGGGGAGAACAATGAAAGGCAAGACTAACTTATGGTTTAACCAAGGAAGTACCAAACAGCAAGCCGTATGAATATGTATAATGACATGTATAACCACACAGGAGCAAGAGAATATAAGAGAGAAAAGAGAGGTACATAAAGTGTCTGTTAAGAATATCTAAGAAGAACCGATAATGATATATAATTTTAAAATTATATAGCAAGTAATGCCTAGGCACAGCACTAGGTGCTCCATGGCCACACTAAGAGGGTCGCTGAATAGCTTCATGGTTCCAGTGCTGGAGCACAGGTCAAAATGTCATCATTATGTTCAATTCACATCACGAGGAAAGTAAAAGTAAAGGAACAGAGGACAAAATGACAGGGAAGTACATATGTATAGAAAACAAATTGCGCAACTCACCTGAAGAATACAAGTCATCACACAGAGCTACGCCTTAGCTCAACTGAGTAGGATATGATGTATAACAAATTTACTGGACAAGTTAGACCTGCTAACATAACGTTGGAAGACAGTCAGTGTAGGGATAATATTCTGAAATGGAGACAGAGAGGAGAAAGAAGACTCCAAGCGAACGTCTTCTACAAGTATATCATGAAAGCCGATGGAAAACACCCTAAGAAAAAGGATAGTAATTAAGTACCTAGACAGAATACCATAAGGGAGTTTTGGGACAGCAAATTTTGGCTCACACGTGTGATAGAATTATATGGCCTGACGACAGGGATCACACTAAAAGAGAGAAGGTTGGATGGAAGGCAAATCTTTGGACTGTCTGAAAGCCTTAGACTCAGTACCTCACGAGATTGGTGCAAAACCTCGGAAGGAAGGAATTATCTAAATTAAGGCAGTTGATAGTGGTAAGGTTTGTGATGTTGTGTACCTTGACTTTAGAAAAGCTTTTGACACAGTACCACATGAAAGACTCATTAAAACGTTAGAGGCTCACTGTATTGAGGGGGGGGGTACTATATTAAATTGGATTAGGGCATATCTATACCAAAGGAAACAAGGAGTTAGTATAAATGTGGGTTAAGTTAGACTGAGAAAATGTTGTAAGTGGAGTACCTCAAGGCTCTGTCCTGGGACCTTTGTTATTCATAATATATATAAATGATTTAGATTCAGGTTTGAGCAGCAATATTTGCAAATTTGCCGATGATATAAAAATCGGGAGGGAAATAAACACGGAAAAAGACTCGCTATCACTTCCATACGATCTAAATAGGGTTTTGAAAAGGTCAAAAGATTGGCAGATGCAGTTTAATGCTGACAAATGTAAGGTTTTAAGGCTAGGTAATGATGATATAGTTACAAGATACGAGCTAGATGGTTCTTAGGGGCAAATAGGCCTTCTGCAGTTACCATTATTCTTATGTTCTTAAATAAGGCACTAAACCCGGAAGTCTAATTAGCACAAGTTAGAGAAGCAGGCAGGAGTGGCGTGGAAGGTGCTCCATGGGACAAGGGAGTACCTAAGCAACATAATACACAGTGAGAGGATAGATCTGAGTGACGAGATGTTGCCAGTGGTGTCCCAGAAGGATAATTATTATTCCATATATTATTCCCCATCTATGTAAACAATGCACCAGAAGAGATAGGTTCCATACTCTCAACAGTTATTGTTCACACAAAAATGATGCGATGAAACGGCAGGGTGACCTGGACAATTCTGAAAGAATAGTGTAACAAGTGGCTACTAGAGTTCAACTCAAGTAAGTGCCAAGTAATGAAAGTAGAGGCTGACAACAGTATTCCTAACTCAAAGTGCTAAACGAGAGGTGAAGCCCCTCAGGAATAAGACAGAAAAGTTCATGGTGGTTGATATGAACCATCATGAACTTGAGTTGTTCATATCAACCACTCAAGATATCAACCACCCATATATAACATAGACAGGTTCGGTGATATAACACCAAACCTGTGTATGCAGCCTACATCAAACGGATATTATTAAGCTGAATATGCAAGAGTACCGACAAAAACTATCTAATAATTTGAATTCGGAAGCATTTGGGACCATGTTTACCACGTATGTCAGACCAACGAACCCGGAGAATGTCCGTAGATATGCCATCAGACTAGTTTCAGAGTGGCATAAGCTGCGAAGAATGAGTAAAAAAAATTATGCATCACGTCACTGCAGGATATAAAAGTCATGGAACACATGATAACCATATCCAAAATTCATAGGGAAGGGAAAGGAACTATCGGGAGAAATCACCAAGCCGCCACGACTATAAAGCACTCAGAAGGGATCAAAACAATAACAAATTCCGTGATAATACAGCAGACAGGTACATAATTTAGCGTGGGTGGTACACAGGTGGCAACTACCTCAATGACCCACAGACATTAAACAAAATTAATTGTCAAAGATTATTTGTTTCCAATTCTAAGAAGTTAAGTGGATGAGGACTCGTACACCACTTCAAATGTAGACGAATGTAACTCGTGCGACGCTTCAAA